TATATATATATATATACACACTCGATTGCAGAAACATTGTAGTATACATTTATACATATATCTAATTTATTTAGTATATTTAATGATATGCAAAACAGAAAAATCGCTTTATTTATTGTATGACTGTCTAAATATTTTTTTCTTGTCTTTTAGATCGTCATGGTAGACTAGAGTAGCTGCGTTACTGTTGACTTCCCTTTTAGGAATCCATGTTGGAGGTGGTACATGAATGGGGACAAGTATTTGTAACAATGATCCAAGATACAACGCACAGCAGCGAGATTGGTCTGTAGTTTGCAGAAAGAGAAGGATCATCTCTTTTGAAGACAGGCGTTATATTGGCACGTTTCCAACTTGCTGGAACTGACCCAAGCGACAACGATAAATTGAACAGTTGACAAAGTGATGAGGCGATGGCTTGAGTTGTGCACTTTAAGAGCATTCCAGGGATGTTATCTGGTCCACATGCTTTTATTGGATTCAATGACTCTAGGACTTTGGTGACGTCAGCAATGGTGAGCTGAATATGAGATAAGACTGGAGTATTTGTAGGAAGGTAAGAAGCACTTGGAGGTGTTGAATCTTCTGCGGTAAGTGCTGAGTGGAAGTATGAGTTCAGCAGATCAGCTTTATCAGCACTGTTTGTTAGAAAAGAAAAACCATCACGAAGGAAGGTGGGGCTAGCACGTTGCGTCATCGAAGTCTTGACAAGAGACCAGAAGCCTTTAGGATTCTCGCACAAGGAGTCGCTAAGGTCGTGAGCATGATCTTTCTTTTTCTTAGCCAGTAGTTATTTGGTCTTGCGTCGTAGTTCTTTAAACTTGGACCACTCTCAGGGGCATCCAGTTTCATGTGCTCTTCGTCTTTGTATGTTCTTCTTTTTAATCAATATCAACAGTTCTTTGTCCAGCCACGGGTGCCCGTGACTTCGTACCAGAGTTCTTAGAACGTGCTGGTCAACAACAGACAGAAAGAGGTCACTCCAGTTGGATATAGATGCAACTACGTCGTCATCCACAAAGGCCACATCCCAGGGTGTGTTAGAGAGCTCATTATTGAGTCCCTTCCAGTCAGCTTGCTCAAAGTTGTAAACGAAGCGATTGATCACAGGTTTCTTGGGGATGTAAAAATCCAAGTAGAAACTGATCAATTTATGATCAGTTTTAAGAATGTCAGAAACACTGCGTATGTTACGTACTTTCTCTGGGATGTTCGTAAGAATGAGATCCAATATCATCATCATCATCATTATCATCATTATCATCTCTTGTGGGAAAATCAACCAATTGCCATAAAACGTTGTCACGTACTAGTTTGGTGAATACGTTGTGGGTGGAGTCGTTGGATGATGCAGTCCCAGTGTTCCAGTGCATAAGTGGAAGGTTGAAATCTCCGCAAATGATCATCTGATCAAACTTTGACCGAGCGACAAGGCGCAAGTACTTTTTAAGTTCTTTTAGATAGTCAGCATCAGAATCCGGCGGTCTATAAACACTATTACGACGAGCTTTCGTCTGCAGTCAGGGCGAATTTCACATACCAGCATCTCTGAATTGCTTTCCAGATCTGGATGGCGTAGCTGTGTAGAGTCTCTAACTGCCAGTATAACTCCTCCGCCAATCCTGTTTAGTCTGTCTCGTCGGTGGATGGTAAAGCCAAGACCAGGTAGAAGTTCGCTGTCAAGTATGTCAGGTTTCAGCCAGGTTTCATTGACAGCGATTAAGTCCATATCAATAGAGAGTGATTGCAGTTCTGCCATCTTGTGGACTAGGCTTCTAGCGCTGAGATATAAACAGCTTATCATGCGTCCTTTTCTTCCTAAAGAAGCCATGAGAGCGTGCTCGAGACAGTTTGCACGAGCGTGGAACAGCTATTTAGACGTTGTGCGCGCACTCAATTGGCAACGGTTTTTGCTCTGCGAGCTAATTCAAACTAAGACAAATCAAAAATAAACAAACAACTAGAAATGACGGTTGAGACTTAAAAAGAGATGAATTGCAAAAATAAATAAATAAATAAATAAATAATAAATAAAAAGATGAATAAAAAGAGCAGAAAGTAAAGAGAAATCTGTTATCGTAAGAAGAAATGATAGAGAGAAAGAAGTAAATGCTAGGAGAACCGTCCTGAATAAAGAAGTAAGTGGAGGAAAAAATAAATTCCCTGTAAAGTAAGTTGTTGCCAACGACTGTGTCAGCAACTAGAGGAATTGGCAGAACAGTAATATATCCTCACTGAAGCCATTATCACGTCGCAGTATGATTAAGTTATGGGGCGAGATCCGCTCCTTGTCCCCCGACAATACGAGATGGTATATAGCCAAACTCCAGTCGTAATAGTGCATAATAACTAATCCAGTAGCAATATGCCAACCTTTATTCTTACTATGCTCAACCCAATATGCCCAATACTCAAAACCCACATCCAATACTCAAAACCCACATCCAATACTCAAAAGCCCACATCCCATACTCAAAAATCCACATCCCATACTCAAAAACCCACATCCAATACTCAAAAACCCACATCCCATACTCAAAAACCCACATCCAATACTCAAAAACCCACATCCNATACTCAAAAACCCACATCCAATACTCAAAAACCCACATCCCATACTCAAAAACCCACATCCAATACTCAAAAACCCATAGCGAGAAAAATTCGTACTTCGAAGGTCCAAACGACGTTATGCAATGAGTCATGTGTGTTGACTTAATTTATACTGCTTGGTGATAATTTATTAAGTGAGAATAGTAATAGAAATGAAAAGAAAAAATAGTGCTTGTTTAGAAAGATTACAAAAAGAGATATGACTTCAAAAAAGATGTCAATAAGGAAGTAAGAGCTTTTAAAGCGACTTAGACGTAGCTACTAAAATGTCTTTACCGATAGGCCAAAGTATGAAAGTGAAGGGGAAAACACTAATCATGGACAAAAAGAGAAGACGAATACCGTCAAGACGTAAAACTAACCTTACAGTCAAATAAGCTCAAGCGTTGACCCCTAGATTCGATTAATGAAATCATTAGTCCATTATTCCTTTTATACGTAGGAACCGGAATAATGCAATATTGCAATATTCAAATGAAAATTCAGTTCATTATTCGACTCGTGCGATGAAGAAGGTAAATCATCTAAATTACAGATACCTTCGAGCAGAAGTCGCTCTCTTATTTTATAAGCATACACACTAGGTTTTGTAATTTCCATGCCTCAATTACTTGGAGCATATCATCAGTAATGTTGTAGGGAACGCTACCGCCTTGAGCGAAATGGAGACACAGTAATGTTTAAGTATTTTCTGGACTCCCCAACTAGAAATTTTCAGTTGTCGCGAATTATTTTATTGGACAATCCGCTATTGCCGAGATGAACAATTTCCTGTCGAATAATATCAGGTAGAGGCTTTCCCGGCACATAAACACGGCCAAGACTATTTCTGGCCGCCATGTTTTCTTGGTCTTCCGGCTGTGTTAGCACTGATTAACCAATCAAAATATCGTATATTGAATTTAAAGTTGATTGGAATTTTCATATCTTCGTTTTCGACGTTGTAAATTTCAACTGAATAATGAAATCAAAATTCGAAAATTCAAATCATTAATCGACTCTAGGGTTCAACACGTGAGCTTGTTTGACTGTAAAGAAGTTGTCTTGGAGAAAAGTATTACGAGACGGCAGAATAAGTAAACAAAAAAAGGAGAGAAATTGAGAGCAGATTCAGAGCCGTCCCGCCACCGCAAGAGCGCCCGCAGATTTTAATATTAAATATTTTAAATATTTTATAAAGAACACGACTAGTTATTTATTCAAAACGAGTTTCAGATGAAATCTAAACTGAAAGACAATTTTAGCTTTTTGCCAAATAAAACAACACAGGGAGCTCCGTTTTTAGGCAGGTTCTAAATTTATATATTAAAATTTAAAGAAATTCCTGAAATTTTACAGAGCTTTAAAAAACCTTTAAAAAAACTTAAAAAACCGGCTAGGGTTCACTTTTTAGCCAAGATTTATTACCGCATAAAAAGTGATCAGGCACTAGCATAGTTTTCGGACGGCATACCGGTGAGAATATGAATCCAGGATATTCCCCAAGCCCTGCGGTATAACATTGACAGTCAGATGCATTTTGCTCATATTGTTTGCGTAATGAATGGATAACCAATGTACCTTGTAGTCTCTATTAACATGTGATATTCTCCAGTTTTGTGTGGAAGTGCACATCATAGAGAATTCTATGTCAGTGCTGAACATATCCCATCCATCTTCTTCACTAAGAGACTGTAGATGTCGATAGAAAAAAGGATACTTCAGGCTGCTGTCGTCTACAAGAAAAAAGTTCACTTACTCTAAATTAATTACACTAGTTAATGATGGTAATTGAACTTAGTGGAGTGCAATTTGGTCTGAAATTAAACGCGCGATTACAAAATCACACGACCGCGTAGCGTGAGTGTGATTTGTAATTGCAAGTTTGATTTCAGACCAAAATTGCACGACACGAAGTTCAATTACCATTTAATCATATCCTTTTTGTAATCATACACAAGAAAAAGGCACAATAAAGAATGCAGAATAATCAGTTTAATGTAGTAGAAGAACTAAATGCCAACTAAAAAAAAACATCTAAAAAAACTAGCTATCTCTTCTTACTCTAAATTCTAACTACTTTTACAGAAGTTTTGATCTGTTATAGCGGAGCTCCCGAGCAAGCGGAGCACCATAGTTCTAGAATATGGTAAATTATAAAATAACTGTTATTAATGTCGCGCTCTGATTGGTTTGGAGCGCGTGCTTTATGAGAGCACATTGCACGCGCGCGCACTATCCGTTGCTTCATTCCTATCTATTATTGTAATTTGTATTTTATAAAAGAAATAAAAAACTTGCTTGCTGTGGTGTGTGCAGTCATAAAGCACTTGGGGATTGGCAAAACACTCGAGGTGTCCAGAAGCATTCCACGCGTCGTGCTTCTCCTAACACTTCTCTCGTGTTCTGCCAACCCCCGCGTGCTTTATGACAGCACACAGCATGCGCACGCGTTTTCTATTTCTTCGCTATGCAACTCAGTTTTCGTGGTCGTCGCATGGGAACCCTGTGCGTAACGGTAAAAGTGTCGCCCGCCAGGTGTACCTAGCGTTTCTGAATGGTCGAGCTTTCAAATCACACGTCACTTGGAATATGACGACTTAAAAATTATTGAAGAAATCATGGAAAAAAGAATTCGCCACAGTGTGAAGATAGAGGTTAGGACATTTTCTATTTTGTTTTATTTAGTGTATATAACATAACTACAATATAACCGGAAAACGAGCAACAAACTAGCATGACGAACGAGCGAAAAAAGTAAGTCTTGTTTTGTTCTTATGGTAAGAGTATTCGTAGTTCATACATGATATAAATGAATCATTTGAAAAAGCACTTTTTGAATTCCACAATTAAACAAATCCAAGAGATTTTTGACAAAATTTAAAGCTAAATAACATTCCTAAAATTACCGACAAAGGAGCAACGAACTAGAATGACAAACGTGCGAAAAAAGTGTACCTGTTTTGTTATTATGGTAAGAGTACTTTCATTTTGAATTTCATTCAATAATTTAATATCTTTCTACAGATAATTTATCTAAATATTCAATGAGTTTTAAAATTACACCAAATATTCAACTGTTTATTGAGCTTTTCGACCTAGTACATGATTACGAAAGTGAGCTTAAATTTGTGTTGTTGTGAGA